TTTGAAATCATATCTATCATAATAAACAAGACTTTGAAAACAAAATTGTTGCAATCCAATAATGTGAGAAAATTACAAATTACCTACATCAGTAATACAGATGGAAAATACAGATGGATGGATTTTTATAGCATGATTATTTTCTTAGTATTTTTTTTTTATTTAAGACAGTTCAGGGGCTAAATTGAAAACGCTATAAGCCACTTTTGGTCAACCAGCCATAGGTGAATTCTTTAAATTTTTCATTCATACCTTTTCTTTTAATCTTCTGCTAAACTTTTAGAAACTTCCATACAATTATAGTGGACACTAATGATAATCTTTTAATGCTGTATTAAGTCCCCATGGACAACAAAGCAACTTCAGGAAAAAGGGAGGTCACCTTCAATTTTTAAATTATTATTATAATCTCATTGATAAGTAAAGTTTAAAACAGTTTTATGTCAAACTTGAAGGTGAAAAAAAATGATTGTTCTTGCATCTAAGAACAATTATCTGTGTTCTTTATGGTGTTCCTTGTTTCAATGTATTATATTTTGTAGAATTGTGTTCTAAAAAGAAAAAAAAGGTGACACAAAGTGCAATAGAAAAAAAAGATTTATTTTAAAACAATTAACATTAGGTTATTTTTTATTATTAGAAGTAAGAAAAAAGGAATTAAAAAAAAAATAATAGTCTGTATTTTAGGAAATATTTCGAATGGGCAATTAACTTACTAAACATTTTAACTCTTATTTGCTTTTAACAATATTTTATCACTTTACATAAAACAGAAAGTGAATTAAATCATCTTCATGATTCTCTAAATTAATTTTTTAAGAAGTACACCAGATCACTATGAAGTCCTTATAATAAAAAAAGTCCCAACAAAAGACTGAGATATTAAAAAACATTAAAAAAAACTAATACAGAAATTTAATTTTTAAAAAAAAGGTCCCAGTTACCACTCTTATGAATGTCATTGTTTGATAATGAAATAATTGAAATAAAAAAGCCTCACCTTAATAAATGCAATTCTTTTACCATTTGAATATAAAAATATTCTGAAGATTGCAAGAGAAATCGACTGAAGGACTGAGCTTGAGTTTCCCTAGTGGTTATCTGATCTTCAAAGCAGAACATGCCTAGCAGAGACATTTTAAAATATATTTAACTTTTTTACAAAATGTTATATATATATATATATATTAGAGGGTCATNACCATAAATTGCTTAAATTAATTCTTTTTATCCACTGTAGAAAGAAACAAAAAATTGTTTGTTGCTGATATGTACAGAATAAAATTGTGTATAATAATCAATCATTAAATAAATAAAAAATTTTGATTACATCCAAGCATATTACAATCATACATAAATACATCATACATATTAGTGTTGCAGGAAAATCTTTCTAAACAAAAGAAAAAATTTATTAAAATTTGAAACAGTATAAAGGGATAAAAGAAAAAAGAAAATCAAGGAAATTTTACTACTTTGAAAAATAGCTAATCGAACAAAGGATTGATGAAAGGTTGATCTGTAAGAAAGAAACAAATAGAGTAAAATAAAGCTGTAACAATAGTTTCAACTACTATTGATATTTAAATTAATTTGATACTTCAATATACTTCTTAGAAATTTTATATAACTCCATTTGGATCAAAAATTACTAAACATAAAATAAACCACAAGATTTTATTTTTCACAAGAATGAAGCTCAAAAATTCTAAAATGTACTCAAGATCATGAATAGACAGGAGTTCAAGATTTGCTTTGATATAAATCTACTTATTACATTAACATTCAAAAAGAAATGAATAGTTATAATTTTGGAGAAAAGGAAGCAGACGAGTTGCACAGTGTTTAGTCTTACAACATTTGTCGGCGAAAGTTTTTCGACCCATGTTCAAAATTACCTTTTCCGCACTGAAACAAATCTTTGTGTTTCTGCTTTTGTGAAGTCCATAATAAAGTGGAGTCTTAGAATCAAAGTAGTTTTAAGATTTCGCTTTTGCCATTAAAGCTGCCTTTACCACAATTATTATTTATTTTGTTGCTTGTTTCACTTATTTTTTGCATGTTTGTGAGCTCAATTATATAACTACGGCTTAAAAACCAAAGCCATGTATAAAGACTTTGTTACAGCTTCCACAGCCGTCATTTGTATTTGTTTATTTTATGCAAGACATTATAACAATTTTTGAGCTTTATGCTGCAAAATTTTGAGCTTATAGCTTTTTAACACATTGCAGTGATTTTAACTATAGTACTATGTAAGCTATAAATTAATGTTATATTTTTTTTCGATCACAGCCAGAGGAGAAGCGGACCCATCAATCCATCATAACTTTACAATCAATTCACTGTTGGAAGTTTGAAAGTTGGTGGATGTAAGCTAAAAACTTTTTCAAACTAAAAGCTTTTTATTTATTTATATATTTCTTTAGCAATGGGACACCCAGAAATTTAAACATTGCTTGCCTGCTTCATTTTCTATTTAAAATGGAGAATATAACTCAAGATAAAATTATTTAAAAACAAAAATTTTATGTTTTTTCTGCGAAAAAGTAAAAAATAAAATATTTTGTGTAACTTATAAGAATCAAGTTGTTGTAGTTCCAGTAAATTTTTAGGATATTATGTTTATTTTATACACAGTTTATCCGGAAATGTGTTGCAAGAATTTATTATAAAAGGTTTAAAAGGAAGCAGATAAAAAGTCAGTGCTTCTCAAAAAAAAAGAAAAAGAAAAGCATGAAATAAGCCACTAACTTTTCATCTGCTAATTCAAAATACCTAGCGATTTTTAGGAAAGTAGGCAAAAATTGTCCTTTGCAGCCGCTGTTCGAATTTCTGGAGGCTAGTACAAACAATTCTAAGTTAGATGTACACACACAAAATCTTCATTTTATTATTATACATAAATGTCATTTTGTATGTTAAAAAAAAGGGGGGGTCTGGAAGTTATGTTTTACTGTCAATTGTCTTATTTCTACTTACACTTTTAAATTATGTTCCCCCATTTTTTAATAAACAAAATACGTATATTGTGCTTGGGATTGCCATAGCAAATCTTGTGAGCCAATTCAGGTGATTCATCTTGTTTTTGAATGGACAAATTAATAAAATAATGAATTTAAAGGCTATTTTTCTTGCTTTCAGTTTTCTTTTCTTTATTATTATTTTTTTAAAATTATGTTAAATCAATTAAATTAATTTTATTCGAAACAACAAAGTATCACAAACAATTTGTTACTTTGTGACTATTAATTATAACCTTGCAATGAATTTTAAACTTGGCTCAAAAGAAATATTTTCTGTACTTATATCAGTAAATGTATGTACAGAGTATTTGAAAATGATCACCTTTAGTGCATATATTTTAAACCTTTCTCAAAAAAGTTTAAACATTTAATGATTGTAAATTAAAATTTAAATGAGAACAAAACAAATATATATAAATGTAATGAATCACTACTGAAGAAGGTAGGACTTGAAAGACCAGAACTTATGTGAAGCCACTACTGGGGAAGTACTTTGAAATTTAAAGTTGACAAAAATTTTATTTTTAAGCATATTTTCTTTGTATACTAATTTAAATAAATTATTTGGGCATTACTAAAGAACGAAAATATAAACATGTGAATAAATAAAGCTCAAATATGAAAATACATTTTCATTTGTGCTTGATCCACATTGTATTTTGCTATAGTCTAGTATTGCCCTCTCCTTTTTTGGCTATTTGTGTATAGTTTTACTCATAAGGAATTATTTTAAAATAAGATTCAAGGTTACTTCAAGTTTTTCAAATTTATTCCTATTAAAAATACTTTTTATAAAGAATTCTTTGGTTGCCATATTTTAAATACTACATGGTGCGTAGCATTTTTATAAAATGATTTACGTTTTTTTAGAGCCTTTAAAGGTGCTTTTTCCATTGAGGGTTTGTAAAAAGTGTTTAATTGTCCTTCTTTCAAATAAAGATTTTTTTTTGCTGTGTCAATCATCTTAAATTACAAAAAGAAGCTTGATTTTTAAAATTTTTTCTGCTATATATATATCAGTAACTTGTTATTTTATCATGATTATGTAAAGTCTTTGAAAATAACTTTGCATTTTGTTGATTATATGAATGAAGAACTTTAACCCACTGGCGGTTAAGGAAATGGGCAAAATTGGGAGAATGTTTCTCCCCTACACACAGTTCCCCTATCTATTAACATGGGAAAACCGGTTTTGCTATGCAGAGAAGACTGCAGGTTAAAATGTGACTTTTTACGTGCAGAACCGTCAGTGGGTTAAACAATAGGAAGAAATAATTTTTATTTCTGTACATATCCTAATTATGATTTTTTTTTTGTTGTTGTTGATGAGTGATGATTTTTTTTTAATGCTTAAAACGTGCTTATTTTTAATATACCTTGTACATAATACAGAGTGCTAATACAGAGTCCATGTATTATATACCTAGTACAGAGTGCTACACATTCTGTACTAGGTATTTGCCAAGCCTAAGTAAAATGTGTTTTATATAATCAATTTAAGATGAATTAATAAGAGATTCATTGATATGTAATTGACCTTGGAAAAAAATAAGCATTTTATCTTAAAGTTTTAAATGATTCTTTTGAAACACATTAAAATGAAATGAGTTTCTACTTTTTAAAATGAAATTTCTGTTATAAAATCTTGTATGCATGATACAAAGGACATCTTTGTATTAGAGTATGAAATACCTTATTCGTCTTCTTGTTGTAAAAATAAATACATTTTATTGTATCCATCTTTGAATTTTATAATGAAATGAGCAGAAATAATAATTTTAAATTTCATGTGATGCAAAATATTTTATGACATCTTTGTCAACATCACAGCAGAAATATGTTAATTTAAAACTGTATCAGAGCATTAACTGCTTTTTTTTAAAAAAATCTTTTGTGAAAATAATTATTCATTACATGGGATATGTAATGAATAATTATTTTTTATATGATGTATATTTACTTTTTATATTATAATATAATGATTAAAACTATTAAATTTTTTAAATTAATTTTGTTTTTTGACTATTTTAAATTTCAGATTTCCCATGATACAAAGGATTCTGTGACATCATTGTCTGTATCAGAGCATCAAATATTGTAATTTACATCTTTTTTCTTTTGCAAAAATAATTGCTTCTTACATTTTAACATAATTTTATTCACTGTATTAAAGCATAATTTGTAAAAAAAAAATTTAAATTTTGAAATAAGTTTTGTTTAATTTAGTATAATTTTTAATTTTAGGTTTGGCATGAAAAAAAATATTCTATGATTCCTCTATCTGTATCAGAGAATGAAATACTTTTTTTTAAAAATCTTTCTTCTATAAAAATATTTACTCATTATATTTTCATGTATATTTACTTTTTATGGTATAGTAAAATTTTTAAATTGCTTAAATTTTTTTTCTTATATTTTAAATTAAAATTTTTAGATACACAAAAGATTCTAGGACATTATTGTCTGTATCAGAGCTCAAAAAATATTTTAATTTTTTTTTTTGTTCTCTTGATGTTAAAATGTAATCAGTAATATATATATATATATATATATATATATATGTAACAAATAAGTAAGTTAAAAATATAGAGAAAATATATCTTTATCAGCTCACACGATTATATATATATTTTGCTTTCTGACTTTTTAATATACATATATATATTCCAGCAACACAGTGTTTAGGGCGGAAAGAAATGCAATTAAAAACTGACAAAGCACAGTACATTGAGACTGATATAATAAACAAGACAGGTTGGATTCCGGGAGAAGTTAAAACCTGATTATTAGAAATGCTTTCAACCTGCAACTAAACCTGTTTTGTTTGTTCCATCCATCTTCCTACATCATGGTTTGTAAAATTTTGATAGTCCTTAATTTTTCCTCACCAAAACATTAATTTACGACTCCGATTGTGTTTACTTTTTTATTTTCATTTTTAGTAGATTCTGAAAATACATGTTTAGAGAAGTCTTTACAGAACATCAAATAATTATAAATTTATATTGATATGAAAGTTACAATATTTCATACCACTAACTAAAACAGATCTATTCTCTGATTAAGTGATTGGAGTTAAATTTCAGAAATATCATGCATGAAAAATTCTTATTTGAAAATTTAGTGTGCTATCATTTTTAAATATTTTTTCATTATTGTAAATTTTTACAGTTTTGTCAGCTAAAAGTCCTTTGAAAATTTTCAAATTCTGGCATATAAGTAACAGTCGAAGAAAATTGTTGAGATAGAGAGAACTTTTTATCTTGGTAAGTACTTTTGAACTACATTATAATTCAATGCATTTCCTGTTACTGATACTTATAGATATAGTTATAATTTATTTGAAAAGAAATACTATAATAAAAAAAAGTTGATTACAAGAACTTGGTTCATCCACTTCAATTACTCTAAGTATTAAAGAAATTTTTTATTGATATACAAAAGACTGCTCATTTATAATTAGTAGCTCTAAGTAAGTAATTTTTCCAAAACATATTTAAATGTATTTATATACTGAAAGAAAGAATAGGTTTATTTTCAAAAGAAAAATTATAGAACTTAAAATTAGTTATCAGTAAAAAATAGTCTTAAAATCAGTTATGTGTCCGTAATTATGAAATTATCAGTAATTTATTCAAGATACTTTTTGTTTTAACAATCCTATGAAACTTTTATAATTAATTGCTAAAAATATATAAAATATTTATAATAAATTATTAAGAATAAATTAGAGCAATCATTTTTTTTTTTCCCGACTGACAACAGATGTTAGGTTTAGCTGCAACCCTCTTTTTAAGAGAAATTTTAATAACTCCTACTATTATGTATCAAAATCACATTAAAAGAAGTAACTAAATTAATACATCACTTTTTATTATGTAAATTTCAAAAAAATAAAATTTTCTTTAAATAAATTGCTTTATTGCAAAATATTAAACATAACTGAAAATAAAATACATTTATTTAACAAATAGTTCTGTATTTTCAAATGTAAATATGAAGGGTTTTCTGTATTAAAATACAGGATCAGCATCTAGAAAAACATAATACACAATTAAAAAACTAAAGTAATTCCAGAAGAATGTTATAATCAGTAATTTAGAAAAAAACTTTCCAGAAAAATATAATGAAGTAATCATAGTTTACTAATGCATCATAAATAAGGATCTTAGTAGAATAAAGAAGTTACCGTGGGCTGTAGGTTGTCAACCCAATTTATGTTTTAAAAAAAACATCACTAGGAGCACAGAAAAGTCTCCAAATAGTCTTCTTCTTCTGACAATAGTTTCTTTTCCGGGCAAAGAAAGTCTCCTCATATCAAAANAAAAACAAGATTAAAAAATACAAAATTCTCGTATTTATTTTTTAAAAATAAGTACAATTCCTAAATTAACTAATATAAACAAAACCAATGGTTAAATAACGCAATATATTTCATACCTAAATTATACGGGGGAAACGATAAAATAAAAGGAAAACTTATTAATCTAAATAAGCGCACTTGAAAATTATCGAACCGAAACGATAGTTAAAAAAGGCACTAGCATAAATATTGAAACCTGGAAAAAGGCAACGTCAACGGAATTTTAAAAAAAACCTAATGATAAAATTTATGAATAAAAAGAAATAATTTATTGAGTGCGAAATTTATCGTGAAAAGAAAAAAAAATCAAACGTAGTGAAATCAGAAAAACAAAACTGCAATCTGCTTCATAAAATAATCCTATGTTTAAATTAATAAACAATTCTCCTTTTATTTATTTATTTTTGTTGATAAAAACACGATATTTAATTACAGCAGATGTGATTTTACATCAATAAAAACTTGCAAATGATACGGCACTTGAATTTATTCAGAAGAAAAAGGTTTTATATTTATTAATCGATGTCAAATAGATGAATATATTTTTCTCTTTCATCTTCTGTTCACTGATAAGCATGCAATGCGTTTCCCCCACCCCCCTCGTAAATTAAACAGAAAACGAAATCAGCATGCCACACCCTTGAGCTTGATTGACGGCCTAAAGGAGAAAGTAAAACATTCCTCCCTTCCCTGCCTTCAAGGTCACAGAAGAAATTATGTTTCTCTGGGTAAACGGGGAAAAAAATTCTCCCCTTCCTTACATTTTCCTCTACTCAACTTCAAGGATGAGTGCATTTCCGCTTTTTTTCATAATCGTTCTAGTTTGAAATGGCGGGAAAAACGGTCAAAATTTTTCCCGGTTATCTGGATACCGGATAAATGGTTCTCTACTGTAATTGCAAAAGAACGTTATAATCAGTAATTTAAGAAAAACTTTCCAGAAAAATATAATTAAGTAACCATAGTTTACTTATGCATCATAAATAAGGATCTTAGTAAAATAAAGAAGTTACCATGGACCATAGGTTGTCAACCCAATTTATGTTTTAAAAAAAAACATCACTAGGAGCACAGAAAAGTCTCCAAATAGTCTTCTTTTTCTGCCAATAGTTGCTTTTCCAGGCAAAAAAAGTCTCCTCATGTCAAAAATAGTTGTGAATAGCAACTGTGGCAACTCTATATGTATATCAAATTAAATTTTTTCTGCCACGTTTTTAGATAAGTCATTTTATGAGAAAATAAGTTTTGCAAACAGCTTCCTATTGTACCATACTTAGTAAAGTTAATTGTATATAAATTCTTAAAAATGCCACTTAGAAACTAAAAATAGAAGCCTTGAAAGAATTATATCTCTTCCAGCTATGCGAAAGAAATATAAAATACTCTTAAAAAGCATTATCATCAAATATTAAAGCAGTTCATTTTATTATAAACATGTTATTGCAATTCAGTTTATTGTAATAGAAGTTAATAGTTATTTTACAAGTTATTTATAACATTATTTCAAAATAAATGAAACATAAAAAGTCTCAATTGGAAGGGAAATAAATTTATAGATTTTCTTAAGAAATGAAAACTGTAGTTTTTTAAAAAACCATAAAAATATCTATAAAATTTTCATTGTAGTAGATGTTTATTTGGGAGAAAAATAGGGATAACATAAATCACATTAAAAAACAAAATCTTACAATAGGTGATAGATTTTAGTAATATACATAATAAAATTAATAATATGAAAATATTATTTTTTAAAAGAAAGTTAAGATCAAAAATATTTATTTTCTTGTATGTATCAAGGTTTTTAACCCCTCAAAAAAAAAAAAAAAAAAAAAAAAAAAAATGGATTTGTTTTTAAAAGTTTTCAGGGTCTGTTTTCCACTTTTGCCTAAATAAAACTTTTTAGGGGAGGGGTATTAACTAAAGTCTTTCCTTTCTTTAAATCAATTATTTACTTATTTAATTTTAATTATAAGACCTTTTCTACAAAAACTTAGTGTATGTATATAACTTCTGAGCAATACAGAAAACAAACTGATTATAGATTGTTTAAGTTAAATTTAATGTTAATCTCAGGTCTGTTGATTGTGGTANTCTAAATCATAAAAAAAATAAAAATGAATGTCATGAACAATAAGAAACAAAGCTAACGAATATTAATCTAAAGAAACAAAGCTAACATAATATTTTATCCCTGCTCTTAGAAGAGGATGTATTACAAATTTTTTATTAATACCATTCGGATAAAATAAAACTATTAAGTTATTTTTTTTTAATTTCAATTAATTATTGAATTATAATTTTGCAAAAAAAGTATTCTTTCAAACTAAAATTGTTTTCTTGAAAATAAAGATTAAAAAAATATATATATAATTAAATTTTCTATTATTCGTATAAATACTCCCAGTTTGATTGTAACAAAATGAAAAAAAAAAAAGTTTTCTTACATACTTTATAATTTTCAGCTTTCTTGCTTTTAGGAATTTGTAGTTTCAAATAAACATAAATCAACAGTTTTTTAATGTTTACGTAGAAATGATTTGCCACAAAATCATCTATGTTAAATGGCAACATTTTGTTCAGAAGAAGCTTATTTCTTACAGGACAGGAAGAAACTGGACAAAACGGAATAAAATAAAAATGACTAATACAATTGCTCAACAATAGGTGTTATAACTAAAACAAATTAAATTTATAGTAACAGAAAGTTTATCATTAGGTTTGAGAATTCAATATGGGCTTTTAATTGTATCTATGTTCAGTATGTGATTTATTGATTTAGTAGTATTAATAAAATTCAGTTATGTTATTTTGATTGTTCTTTAAATATAAAATTACAATTTAATATATTCTTTAAAATAAAATAGCAATGATAAGCTAGCTACCCTTAATTTCATTAGAAATTCATGCTTTTTGTTTTACTTATGTATAAAATGATAGGTTATTAAAACCACAAAAATTAGCATTATTATTCAAACTAATTTACAGTTATAAACTGTTCAGAAAAAAAGCTCTTTAAATATTTTATATTTTTGTTTGGAAAAAGTTTTTTCCACTTAGGATGGAAAAAATCTATTTCTTTGAGGGTTTTTTTTTTTCATCACTGGGAGAAATTTGTTATACCTGATGTAAAATAAAGCAAGTCAATGACTCTAAAAAAAAATTTAAATTAAAATAGACATTCCATGTTTTTGTAGTTTTTAAAATTAGTTAAGTAATGTAATTATTAAAAGAGTTTAAGTTTATTTTTATCTACTTGTTAAACACACTTTGCTACAGAAAAAAGTATCTATGGTTTCTATCACCAGTGTAAATAAATCAGTATTGTACTTATCCAGTATATGCTTATATTCCTTATTGTAATTTCCGAATTACATTTTTAATATTATCTAAAGTATTTTTTTCTTATTTATATAATGCTGCAATATGTCAATAAGAATATTGTTAAATTTAAAGCTCCATTATATTAAATTAAGTAATAAAAAAGTTATTTTATTCTTCAAACTGTTTGTACTGAAACATACCTTTAGTATTTTAGTTTATATTTATGGAGTCTGTTTTTCTTCATTTGTCTTGTGATTTTTTAATATTAAATTAAAAAATATATTTAAGTTATTTTAATAATTTCAATTTAAAATAAATTATTTTAAATTGAAAAAATATAATGCCTTGAATATTTCACTCATTTATGTTAAAATTGTGTGGGTTCAATAAATAAAAAACTGTTTATTTTGGAGCATAGTATTTGTATGTCCGGCTTTTTCTAGTCATGTATGTCAGGCAATTCAAATAAGTTATTATAAAATCATCCAATTTTGATACCCGTATTGAAGATTACATTTTATTTTTTAATATGTTCGTGTAACTGAAGTTAAAATCACTAGATGTTGTGGATGTAAGCTGTACTGCATCTATTTCTAATCACTGTCATAGAAAACAAAATCTTTCTTTGTTTGCATGAATATTATGTTGCAGATTTTTTTAAAAAGTTTTTCAACTTTAAATTCAAACTTTTATTTATAATGCTTTTAAATTAATTTCTAATTCCAATTAAATATTAAAATATGTTGTAAAAAGTATAAAATCATTCGAAATTGTAATTTTAAAACTGAAAATATGTATGACAGTTTAATGTTATTTACTGCCATGCAATCGCATTTCATGAGTCCAGACTTGAATCTACTAACATTCAATTTTTATGGATTAGACCATCAAGAAAATTATGAAATGCATTTTAATGGACAGTAAAAAATAGTAAAATTAGGAATAATCACCATGCTAAGAAACAAAAAACTTTAAATTTACCACTCTCAAAATTTAAAGTGAAATTCTAAAGAAAACGCAAAAATACCAGGGATGTATAATGACAACATTTTATTGGGGACTAAATCTGATTGAAACACATTTTTTGTAATTGCGTATAAGCCTTATTTTTTCTTAATAAAAAATATCTTTTTAAAGGCAAAATACTTTTTATAAATCAAAATACAAATTGGGAACTTTGTGGCGATACACAAAACACTTAAAAATTTATTGTTTTATATTAGGACTTGTCCATACATATTAAAAGCTGAAAAAAATAAATGGTCACCAGACAACACCAGTGAAGTTTCAAAGCCTCCTTCAAAATCATCCTAAAAAATGAACTCAAAAAAGAAAATAATTTATATTTATAAAATATAGAAAACAAAAGTAAATAAAAGAATCCTTTCATACGAAATAAGCAGATGTTTTGTTTTTATTTACTTTTGGAGTTATAATAGTTTGCTGAAATAATTTAAATGTTTTTTAAA